TCTGCTGGTGCTGGACCACTGTGTTTTATCCAGCGCAGGGTCAATGCAGCTAGCTATCAGGAGATTTTGGAGCACTTCATGCTTCCATCTGCTGAAAAGCTTTATGGAGATGAAGATTTCATTTTTCAGCACGACCTGGCACCTGCTCACAGTGCCAAAACCACTGGTAAATGGTTTACTGACCATGGTATTACTGTGCTCAATTGGCCTGCCAACTCTCCTGACCTGAACCCCATAGAGAACCTGTGGGATATTGTGAAGAGAAAGTTGAGAGACACAAGACCCAACACTCTGGATGAGCTTAAGGCCGCTATCGAAGCATCCTGGGCCTCCATAACACCTCAGCAGTGCCACAGGCTGATTGCCTCCATGCCACGCCGCATTGAAGCAGTCATTCATGCAAAAGGATTCCCGACCAAGTATTGAGTGCATAACTGAACATGATTATTTGAAGGTTGGCGGTTTTTTGTATTAAAAACACTTGTCTTTCATTGGTGGGATGAAATATGCTAATTTTTTGGGACAGGCATTTTGGGTTTTCATGAGCTGTATGCCATAATCATCAGTATTAAAACAATTAAAGACCTGAAATATTTCAGTTGGTGTGCATTGAATCTGAAATATATGAAAGTTTAATTTTTATCATTACATTATGGAAAATAATGACCTTCATCACAATATGCTAATTTTTTGAGAAGGACCTGTATTTGTGTCAGTTTGCTCCAGAGCAGTAAACTGATGCAAGTGATTTAATAGAGGTGGCCCCACTGATGATGATAAATCAATATATATGTTTTATCAGCAGCTCCTGACTGATCCCAAACCTTCTAAATCCTGTGGAAGAAGCTAGGAAAATACATCTAAGAGTGGTGGAATTTGTTGTCTGTTTTTGTACACTTGACATTAGAAATTAATCATTTTAGAACCTGGTAAAGATTAAAAAAATTATCCTGAAACTCGAAAGTCAAGATTTAAAAGAAGTTGGACTTTATTCTTTAGAGTGAAAACATGGATCTACAAAGAACACTGTTAAAAAGCCATTTATGTCCTTCCCCTTCACTAAAACAATGTCAGCCAGAGACACAAAAACATTTGAGGATTTACATAAAGAGAATATAACTTATTAGGTTTTTAGCACATAAGCTAGTTTGTTGTTTCTTTCCTGGCAGCTTATACAGAGATCACCACAGTGAGGAACTCAAAAGAAAGATTTAATCATTGTTTTAAGCCAGATTTCCTTCTTTACAATAGCTGGCCTCAAACATGTAGCCTCAAGATCACAAGATGGTGGCACAGACCACAGCCTAAATAAAAGACTAGTTTGATCAAAAATAAGGTTAGAGAATTATTATAGTTATTTTTTAATAATTCACAAGTTCAAATAAAAAGATGACTCTAGGAGATCTATCCACTTTATTCCTAGCCCCCATGCTGCCTTGCGTGAATTATGGGTGCAACTTTTGGAGTGGACTGGAACCAGCGTTTGTTTTTATGTGAACAGTATGAGCTAATATACACTACCTGGCAAAAAAAAAAAGTCGCCACCTGGATTTAACTAAGCAAATAGGTACGAGCCTCCTATTGGATAATTACTGCATGAGCGATTATGTTTCAACTGGCAACAATTTATATAACCCCAACTGGTGCAATGAGTTTCTTCTCATTTCTTAAACAACCATGTCAAAAAACGCATCGCCTGGTCGTGGAAAAGATGTCAGTCTGTTTGAGAAGGGTCAAATCATTGGCATCATCTTTACTTACTCTGCTCAACCTGTTTTGTATTTGTAATTATTTTTTCTATCCTTAACATGTTTTTTTTTGTCTCTCAGATACACCTGGACCTATACCTGGACCTACCATTCTGTGTTCATCTGTCTCTCCTTCCTGTCCTCTCAAACCAGCCGGTCAAAGCAGATGGCTGCTTGTCCCGAGCTGGTTCTGCTGGAGGTTTCTTCCTGTTAAAGGGAGTTTTTCTTTCCACTGTCTCTACTGTACTTGCTCAGGATGGGAGACTGCAATGAAGCCAAGATTCAACTCTGCTGGATTCCTTAGATGGAGAACTTTACTAATTGGCTTTTATGTGAATGCTCCTGTAAAGTGCCCTGAGACAACTTTGTTGTGATTTGGCGCTGTATAAATAAACTGAATTGAATTGAATTGAATCAAGCAGAGAAAACATCTAAGGAGATTGCAGAAACCACTGAAATTGGGTTAAGAACTGTCCAATGCATTATTAAAAACTGGAAGGATAGTGGGGACCCATCGTCTCTGAGGAAGAAATGTGGCCGGAAAAAAATCCTGAATGATCGTGATCGGCGATCACTTAAACGTTTGGTGAAATCAAATCAAAGGAAAACAACAGTAGCATGCAGGGTTATGTTTAAGAGTGAATGTAAGAGCATTTCCACATGCGCAATTCAATCCAACATGTTCCTGGTTTTAGTTTTCTACATTCGCCTTAGAATCTAGCTGTTTTTTTGTTACTTTTTTCTTTTAGCCATCCTATTTGTAAAAAAAAAAAAAAAAAAAAAAAATCAGCAGTATTACTTTTTATAACCATTTATTGTTGTTGCTGTTGTCCATTGTTGTCATCTTTCTTTGTTGAAATCAGGTCTCTCTTGTAAATGAGTCCTCGAGGCTCAATGGGATTTACCTGTAGAAATAAAGGTTGAATGAAAGAAAATTCAAAAGGGAACTCAAGAAATTGGGACTGAACAGCTGTGTAGCCTTAAGAAAACCACGAATCAGTGAGACTAATAAGAAAAAAAGGCTTCAATTTGCGAGGGAGCATAAAGATTGGACTCTGGAGCAAGAAAGAAGGTGATGAGTCCATATGGACCCTGTTCCAGAGTGATGGACGCATCAGGGTAAGAAGAGAAGCAGGTGAAGTGATGCACCCATCATGCCTAGTCATCAATGCAAGATCTTGGTGAAAAACTAATGCAACACTGGATGGAAACAGATGTTGTGACATTGCAGAAGCTTATCAAGACAATGACACAGAGAATGCATGCTGTAATCAAAGCTAAAGGTGGTCCCACCAAATATTAGTGTGACCTTTTTTATTTTGATAGCGACATTTTTTTTGGCCCTGCCGTGTAGTTTCTCCAAGTATTGTGGATTTAATTTCAACATGTAGAAACATCGCCTGTCAGAGCTCAAACAGGACAATGTAATCATACCTCTGCCTACTGCAGACGAGGGATGGGAGGACGACCTAAAGAAGTGGTTGCAGATTCAATCAACTAGCATATTTAGCTACTTCATTGACTCGGTCCTTCCGATGGTGAAGCGATGAACAACCTGAGTAGCTCAGAGGCGTATTAGTATCTACACAGTAATAAGGTCGTGGTGTTTTATTAAAAGAGGTGGGACACAATCTTATTTACCATAAAGCAGATATAGAGCCCAGCCAAAGATTTTAAGTCCTCCATCACTGAGCTTGGGTTAATTGCAGAGAAAATCATAATACAAATGATGAACAAATATTATATTGCTGTGACATCCATACACTTGAAATCATACCCGATATTCTCGTCACTCTTTTCAATCCTTCTGAGGATCTGGTGTCTCTTCTCCAGTGGTTTGTTGTAGTCGAGCCACAAAGTAGGATGCAGGTTTTCCTCCGTCGGCTGTTTGTCAGCAAAGTGAAATAACACACATACAGCATTTTGGGTGGTCTCTTCAAGTTCACATTTTTCATCCACATTCTTCCTAATTCCTCATCTGTAGGTCAGAGATGGAAACTATACAGCTTTTCACAGGAACACTTTTTTTGTTTTGGATCTATATTCCAAACACTGTTGTTGTAGTTTGTAGTAGTGGTTTGCTGTAGGCAAAACATCTCATCACCAAAAAAGAAACCGTCCACATGACCTGACTAACAATTGTTGAATTTTATACCTGGATTATTGAGCATAGACTTTGGAGTTTTGAACCAGTTTGACATGACTGTTGATGAGAAAGAGGGCAGGCACCGGAGGAGACGGCGTGCCCCAGAGACCATCTTAGTACCAACATAACTGTTTTGTTTTTTTTTACTTTGGCGTAAGTTGTTTGGGGAGAAGCAGTTTTGTTTGGCGTTTCCTCAGACTGATAAAGCCTTCTGGATGGAAGGTGAAATGTCTCAACACAAAAAAGAAAACATCCAGATGACCTGACTTAAAATTGTTGGATTTTATACCTGGATTATTGAGCATGGACTTTGGTGGACTGTTGTTGTAGCCACGGATTTAATTTGGTCTGGTTGTTTGTGCTTCTGTGAGAATCACAACAGGTACCTGAACTCCACAAGGCTATGTTAGTAAACTTGATTGTTGTTAAATAAATGTGAACAAAACAAAAACAGTTCTGCTAAACTGAATGCAAATAATTTTCAAATAAACCGTGGTCCATGCTCCGCTACCATGTTTAATCAATGATTACTTCTACTTCCTGTGTCTGACAGGAAGTTGTACACATAATCATTTAGACAGTAGAGCCCCCAGGAATAAGTTGGGTATGTAAAAATAAAATAATAATAATAATAAATATATATATATATATTATAATATAACGGATGTTAACGGATGGATGGACAGACGGATGACAGGCAGAGGAGGACTGAGAAGTCTGTGCAGAACAGAACAATGACCGGACAGGGAGTGGAGGAGAGAAAGGCTTTTTATAAGACAGAGGGAGAGTGAGTAATGAGAGCACCTGGGCAGGTGGCTGATGAGGGACAGGTGTGAATGATAAAGACTGAGGAGTGGAGAGGCAGACTGAGGAGCGAGTGGAAAACAGAATCAGATATATAGGAACAGAAATCACACAAAGAGCAGAACAACAAAAGTACAAAAAGCAGAGTTGGGAACACAAATAAATATAAAGAAAACAGACAGGGACAGAGCCTGTCAGCTAGTAAAATTTAAGAAAATTAAAGTGTGGGTTTTGTCTTTAAAAATAGTTTTGTTTTGATGAACATACAGTAGATTAATTATTTTTTCTTGTCTGTTTGACAGGTACTACACAGCTGATATACGAGTGGAACAGGAATCCTTCGACTATGACTTTTATGAACAGCCTCACACGCTTTCCTCTCAGTTCAACCCCTACAGAGAGAGTAGGTATCACAAGGTACTCCTAACTGATTATTTTGTGAGCTCCCATTCATTGTAAAAAAGTTAACCCAAACTCTGTTTCCTCTCAAGTCTAAAAGGCCTTTCATATCGGAATTGAGAAACGTTTTCACTACTCCTAAACCTATGTGTATTTCATGCTTTGTGCAAAAACTGTTTCATGTTTGCATTGCGTTTGTTAATAAGAAGGAGCTCCTTCTGTCCAAACACTATTGCTTTTTAGACCATTTCACCACATGTGCACGCACACATACTTCTGCTGCTGCGTAATTTTTTCATTTTTATTATTTTTATTTTTTTAGGCCATGCAAATGCAATATTCTAGCATACAGCACGGCATGCATACTGGGAGCTCTCTGCTCATCTGCTCACAGTTTTAAAAACTTTGCCTGTTTTGCGGGTCACTCTGCAGCAATCTGTAGTGAAACTCAGGTGAGCAGGTGAGTACCTGCCCTGAGTGGTGAGCTCAGCGTGTATTGCTTTTGATCTGAAAGCCCCTTCATCCCTAACCTTAACATTACCTTTTTATTTAACTCAAAACTGTAAGCTTTGCAAAAACAGAAATCAAGAGCTCACTTCTTCATTGACAGACCTTTAGTTCATAAAGAGATTTGCATACTTATACACGTGTACATTCATGCACATGAATAAAAAGTCACTTCAAGACCTAAGCCTTGTTGGTGAGAAATTCAGCAGATAGAAAGAAGCTGTTTCTGTGGCCAGAGATTCTGATCCTCATGGACAGCAGCCTCCTGCTAAAGGGGAGCAGTTGGAACAGAGGATAAACAGGGTGGGAGGGGTCATCTACAAGCTTTCCTGCACGCCTCAGAGTTCTGATGGCGTACAGGTCCTGCAGTGTTGGCAAATTGCATCCAATCACCTTCTCAGAGGTCCTGAAAATATGCTGCTCCTTGTCTCTGTCCTTGGCAGTGGAAGCAGCGTAACACATGCTGATGGAAGAGGTGAGGATGGTGTTGCACTAACACCGCTACGCCAGCAGAGGGCAAGCGTGTTGTTTCTATATAGAGAGCGATAACGGGGCAGAACAAGGAGTAGTCTAAAATGGAGTTCTTTTAGAGAAAATATTGGGCAATTTGGTGAAGTTATGAGTAAGAGTCACTTGTATGTGACAGAGTGGATAATAACTGCTACAGCTTCCCCAGAAACCTTCAACTGTCTCTTTCTTCGCTGCACTACACTGCTGTGAACCACAACCGGAGTTAACCTTGAAGTCCTGAATTACTTCAGCCTTGGAACAGAAAGAGCTCCCCTGTGCTGCCCCCCCCCCCCCCCCAACAGAGTCCATTCATACATTCATACCATTGACAAATGCTTATGAGGATGCTGGGGGAACGACTGTGGTTAAGGAAGAGACAGAAAAACAGAGCTATGAAAGCTACAAAACATTTGTACACAACAATGAGCCCGTGGATATGCAGTGGGAAGCAATACGTGACGCAACAGCACCATGCCGGGTTGCTAGTACGAACCCTTTCAATGAAGGTACAGGGGTTATGTCGCCAAACCTGCAGCATCCAAGCACAAACCCTTTCACCTAAGCCCAGTTTGGAGATTTTGTCCACAACACACCACTGCCTTATCATTACCCTCACCAAATAAGTCCCATTCTGCCTCTTCCAAGTTTTATTGGATCTGTCATCAGCTTTTGACACAGTCGACCACAAAATTCTGATACATCGACTGCAACATGAGTTAGGAATTTCTGGAACTGTTCTTAAGTGGTTTTCCTCATCTGAGCAACAGAACCTTTCCAATGTTTGTGAATAACATACAGTCTAAGACCACTCCATTACTATATGGTGTTCCTCAGTGTTCAGTCTTAGGTCTTATTCTGTTCCTTCTATACATCAGCCCCATTGGAAAGATTATCAGTAGCTTCAGAAATGTGTCTTGTCATTGCTATGCTGATGACATTCAACTGTACTGTTCCTTCTATGACTCAGAATTACACGTTAGCTGAATTAGTAAACTGTTGTTTCCCATATTAAGGCATGACTAGCTAACAACTGCCTACAGTAAAATTCTAACAAGACTGTAACCCTGATCATTGCTCCTGAACAGAAAGTTCCTTGGATCAAGCAACACCTCAGTTCTCTGGGCTCCTCTTCTCAGCCTCAGAAACCTTGGTGTTCTGTTTGACCAGTCAATGTCATTGGAAAAACATTCAAAGCTTCTAGTAAAAAAACTGCTGTTATCATCAAAAACATATTTCTAAATTGAGGGCAATGTTATCCATATCTGATCTGGAGATGATTATTCATGTTTTTATCTCTTCTCATTTAGATTATTGTAATTCACTTTTTACTTGTTTCAACAAATCTGCCTTTGCTCGTCTCCATTTGGTCAGAACGTTGCTACGAGGCTTTTAACAGGAGCTAATAGAAGGTCTCACATTACACCAGTTTTATCTTCTCTTCATTGGCTTCCTGTTGAATTTAGAATTAATTTTAAAATTTTGGTCTTAACTTTTAGAGCTTTAAATGGACAGGCACCCCAGTACATCACTGAAATATTGATCCCTTATTCTCCAGCCCACACCCTTCAGTCTTCAGCGCTGAACCTCCTAAAGGTTTATAAGACTCGGTTTAAAACTTGGGGTGACCTTTCCTGTCAGGCCATAGCCCCCAGATTGTGAAATGCCCTGCCCCTGTCTTTTTGTGTGGCCATCTCCATTGATTCCTTTAAAAAACAGCTTAAGACGCTTTTATTCAGACAAGCTTAAATTTTTTATCTACTGTTTTTATCAGCTGTTCATGCTGTTTTTATTAATCAGCTGTTATTGTTTTTGTTTTTATTTTAAATCTGCATTTTGTATTTTTGTAAAGCACTTTGTGATTGTATCTATGAAAAGTGCTATATAAATAAAGTTTACTTACTTACTTTCTTTTAACCCATTCAAAGACAACCTATGGCTATGATCATCGCCAGGTGGCATCTGACAGCGAAGAGGAAGGCGACATGCGAGAAAAAGTCCCTATCCTACGCCCTGAGCAGTATGATGGCACAACTTCTTGGAAGGATCAAAACAAGTTTGATCTGGTCCTCTGGACATTCAAAAAAATAAAAAATAAATAAGCAAAAAAAATGGAGAAACATTTCGTCTCTCATCCGAAAGACTTCCTCAGTCTGAGGTGCTGTATTCAGCTCAGTCTCTTAAATAGCACCTTCTCAGAGTGGATCAACCAGTTTTGCTGCTGACAACCAAAACCAGCAGCTCACATGATCAAGAAGGACCATCAGCCTAACAATGGATCATTAGCACACTGATGGCTGTTTACTATTCACAGGGGGTTGAGTGATACTAGCAATCACAGCATTGTAAGAGGGGGACAGTTGAACCCGGAGTAAGACTGATCACAGCCCTCCTGACATTGAACAACATACACAATATTAATCTGTTTGTGATGGGGGACTGGATCTTTGGGATGAACCAGTCTGAGCTGAATACAGCGCCTCAGACTGAGGAAGTCTTTCGGATGAGAGACGAAACGTTTCTACATTTTTTTTTTGCCTTTTTTTTTTTTGAATGTCCAGATGACCAGATTGAACTTTTTTGATTTTCCTACCTGGATTATTGAGCATGCATCGGGATATTTCTTGGAAGGAGTTTCTACACCAGTTTGAAAGCTGCTTTGAGGCAAACTATTGGTCAGACAGCACAAAAAATATTTAACTAAAGTTCTGTTTAGTGGAGTCTGCAGAGGCCATTGTTCATCGAAACCCACAGTCTTCACATTGGGATTACCGCCGCCTAGTGGAGGAGATGGAAATTGCTTATGGCCCATCTTCATATTATGCAGCTACTGTGGCTATTGAACTGAGGCAATGGGTCTGCACTTTGGGTGAGTCCCTTCATACCTTAAGGGATGACATCTATGGTAAAATAGCAGTGGCCTATGGCAACCGGACAGAAACCGTACAGAAACTTAAGCAAGATGCTATAGGTGTGGAAGTTTTTACCAATGCTGTGGGAAATGCTGAGATTGTACAAAAGTTGCTGGAGCAACAGCCTCATATCCTAGCCCAAGCTTACAAAATTGCTTGTCGCTATGAGGCTATAAAACAAGCTGCAAGTAATGTTACCACTCTGATACAAACAGGGATACACAATATTCCTTACAGAAGGCGGCATGCAGTGACAGTAAAGAGGGGAGCTGTAACGGGATTTATCCACCCTGTTAAAGCCCTGCCGCCATCTGCTGCCACCCAAAACAAGTCACAACTTTCAGTTCCTCCCTTTGTTCCACCACATTTGCACGAACTCTACATCCAAAGCTCCTTCAACCTTACAGAAGAACAAAAGTGTCATCTGGGGGAGATGAATTGAAACTACAGCAGCATGTTTTCTTCTGGACCTAATGACCTTGGTCGCACCAGTTTAGTCAAACATGATATAAATACCCATCCTGAAGCCCCAGTCAAAATACCACTATGTCAAATGGCTGCAGAAAAACAACACAATGCTGAGAAGCAGATCGAACAGAGTCTTTGTGATGGCCTGGCCCATTGCAGTCACAGCAGCTGGGCATCACCTATTGTCATGGTCCGCAAAAAGGATGGTACATATCGCCTTTGCATAGATTATAGAGCTCTTAATGACTGTACTATTAAAGATACTTATCCTCTTTCCCACATTCAAGATACAGTCGACACCTTATCATCTGCTAAGTGGTTTAGCATGCTCGACCTTGCCTCAGGGTACTAGCAAGTGGAGCTTACACCCGAGCATGCCGGTTTGCAGCCTTCTGTACCAGAAGTTGACTGTTTGAGTGGAACGTCATGCTGTTTGGGTTGTACAACGCACCTGCAACATTCCAATGCCTTATGGACCATGTACTAGCCAGGCTATAATGGGAAACGTGTTTGGTGTACCTCAATTACATCATTCTGCCAGCCCAGGACGTATCTGAAATGCTGCTATGGCTCCACCACATTTTTGACTGACTCCATCAGGCCAACTTGAAGTTAAAGCCTACCAAGGGTTTCCTTTTCTGGCATCATGTGGCTTACCTGGGACACATTGTGTCAGAACAAGGCGTGGCCACTGATCCAGACAAAGTCCACAATGTGCAAGAGTGGGAGTGGCTCCATGCGGGGGTGAGGTGTCGAGTTTTGCCCTCACCGGAACCCTGGGAGGTGAGACAACGGAACGCGCCTCTATGGAGACACTGGGACTGGTTCTAGGACACCACTCCACCGAGTCGAGTCGGATCCCTCAATGATACTGGGACGGGCACTGTGGGCTGCTTCTGGTTATGCTTTCTGCCACTCCTACGGTGGCGGTGAGGATCGAGGGCAGGTACGAGACAAGGATTGTCCTCGTCCTCCTCGGCTGTCCATCCAGAGATGACGAGTGATGCTAGTGAACTAGACACAGATGTCAGGTGGTCTACCTGGAACTGTACCCTCTCTTTTTCCTCCTCTAACGCCAGAAGAGGGGAGGGTAGGATCTCTACTGCCTGACTGCAGCAATCTTGAGTCCGGACGGGTCCTGTCCATAACTCGCCACAATGGACCACGGGTACCCCATCTGTGGCTTGTTCAGACAGGTGAGTTTAAAAAAAAGATTCTGAGGAGAACCCTGTTTGCTGGACTCTAGTATGGTCGAATCATTCTGTCAGGATTTTTCGGGCAGGAACGAACCCAGTAGTGCAGATAGGGACTTGGACTCAAAATCACAAAAATAAATAAGTTTCATGACAATAAATTAAATGGCTGACATGGCAGTAAACTTACAAACTGGGGACACAGATCATGTCAGGACTGGGTAACACTCAGACTGGCAGGACAAGACGGGGTAGACCCAACGATGACGCAACAAAGGACAAGACTTACAGACAGGTTTAAATACACAAACAAGACAGGACGTGATTACAAACAGCTGGGAACAGATAAAGGTGAAACTAATCAAGAATAATGAGACACACTAGGGAGTACAGACAGGGAAGGCCCACTAGAGGGCGCCATCCTTACAGATGCCTTTCAGCGAGAGGGATGATGGTTCAAATCCCAGCCCGTGACCTTTTTGGGTGGAGTTTGCATGTTCTCTTTCTGCATGTGCGGATTTTCTCCAGGTAATCCGGTTTCCTCCCACAGATCAAAAACATGCATGTTAGGTTGATTGATATCTCTAAATTGTCTCTAGGCGTGAGTGAGAGTGACTGGTTGTTCACCACTTGCTCTTGCCGAAGTCAAATGCTTTTCTCCTCCTCTCCCTCTCCGCTTTGCTTTGCAGCTCTGTCTTGTCTGTGAAACTGCTTCTGAGCCTCTCTCTACATATCTTCCAAACCATAATTACAGTATGTGACACCATTTTAAAGCTACAATTGTCCTCTAAAAGAAACATCAGGACTTTGCATGGTAGCATATGTAGTTTTAGAGATATAAGCAAAACAAAAATGTGTACTACAGCGCACAAAAATGAATTGCTGGGTCTCAGGAGGTTATGAGTCTAACAGCTTTGGGGTAGAAGCTGTGAGATCTCTGTCTGTATAAAACAAAAGCATGAATATTAGATGTCCCAATTTCAGGCAGTTTGAAGAAGCATATTGAATAGAGTACTCATCAGTAATACTGAGGGATCTCTGCAGGTAACATCAGTGCTGTGAAGTTCTCCTTGGTGGAAGTGAATGAAACCACAGTGACTATCAACATCACAGATCCTGTGACTTCCATCCATCAACATGGGAAGCAGCTCACCATCAGAGATGTCCTCAAAAAGGATCTCAAGTACAAGATCATCTACTATAAGCCTGGAAGCACAAGAGAGGTGGCATATTCTCTGTAAACATAAATGTGAATGCTAGTGTCCGTGTGTGTTTATTATTATCGTATGAACCAGGAGATGGATTTAAATGACACTCTCAAAAGTTATTATTAGATGAACATCTATAACTGATGATGTTTGAATTCAACTGTTGCAAGGACAAGAAAAATGACTGAGGAGACAGAAGGTTGTTGGTAATTAATCTATTCTGACTCTAAAAAAAGAGAGAGGAAACAATCCTTGTCTTTAAGTTTATTTTCTCTTTGCAAAGGAACTCAGTCAGAAAACAGACATGAAAAAGAGTCAGCCCCCAAGTCATTTGAGGAAGTCTCAGACTCCTCCATATTTCTTTGGTGTAAGCTGGTAATGTTACATGTTCGTGGTGAGCCGTTTTGTGTCACTTCCTGTTTGTCTGTTGGTAGCTCGAGAGAATTGTTTGATCGAGTTGTCTTTTGTTTTCCAGATTTATCTGTCTTTTGCACATTTTTTCATTCTAGTTCACAAACACCCTTAGTACAGTTGTTATTCTACTGTTGGATGGTGCTTGAAACACCTTTTATATTTCAACACTAATCAGTTTTTATTGGTGTATTGCGATATGCTTGCTCTAGCAAGTGTTAGCTTAGCATGGCTGCTGCTACTCTCCCTGCTTCCTCTGTTTTCATTTGCTCCATGTGTCAGATTTTTAGTTATTCCTCTGCCTCCTTTAATGGTAATGATACTTGTAACAAATGTAGTCTTATGGTAGCTTTGGACGAAAAGCTGTCTGAACTGGAAGCTCGGCTCCACGCTGTAGAAAAACCAGTAGCTAGCCAGGTCCCCTTAGACAGCACGGAACCACAGAGACCAGCTCCCGTTAGCAGTCATCCAGCAGACCCCGAGCAGCCGGGACTCCAGGCCAGCTGGGTGACGGTCCGGAGAAAGCATAGTGCTAAGGCTAAGCCCCCATTTCACCATCAACCCTTTCACGTTTCTAATCAATTTTCCTCGCTCAGTGACACACCCGCTGAGAAGCAGACCCTGATTAATGGCAGCTCCATAGTCCAAAACGTGGCTTTAGGGACTCCATCGGCCATAGTTAAATGCATTCCAGGGGCCAGAGCGAAATACATTGAATCTTATCTGAAACTGCTTACTAAGGCTAAGGCTAAATACGGTAAGACTGTTATTCACGTCGGCAGTACTGACACCCGGTTCCGCCAATAGGAGGTCACTAAAATTAATGTTGCTTTGGTGGGTGACTTTACTAAAACCATGTCGGACTCCGTAGTTTTCTCTGGCCCCTTCCCCAACCTGACCAGCGATGACATGTTTAGCCATATGTCATTGTTTAACCGCTGGGTGTCCAGGTGGTCTAACAACGACGTGGGCTACATAGATAACTGGAGTTCTTTTTGGGGAAAACCTGGTCTGATGCTGGGAGATGGCATCCATCCCACTTTGGACTGAGCTACTCTTCTTTCTAGAAATATGGCTAATTTTGTTTATCCTCCAAAATATTGACAACCCAGGGTCCAGTCCAGGAAGCAGAATTGTAGTCCTCCACACCTCTCTGCTGCTTTTCCTCTGTTACCCACCCACACCCCCATTGAAACGGTGTCAACTTGCCCACTGCTCAAATTAAATAAACCAAAAATCAGCTCTAAAAATATAAACCATGAAAATCTTATCTAGGGCTGCAACAACGAATCGATAAAATCGATAAAAATCGATGATTAAAAGCGTTGGCAACGAATTTCGTTATCGATTCGTTGTGTCGCGCGATTATGCATCTTTCACGGCGCTGCGGAGCTGTTTCGTTTTGTTCACGGGCAGTTCATTGTCAATGCTGACTGACTGGATAAAGTTTGAAGAAAAAAAAAAACTGTAACGCGAGTTGAACAGAGCGAGGGGGGAGGAGGAAGCAGAGGCTGTTTTCAAAGGAAATTTAAGTAAATTTTACAAATGACCAACGCAGCGAAAACTGTTCGACCCAAGTCCTCCAAAGAGTGGGAGAACTTCACAAAGATAAAAAATGAGAAGCATGCAGCTTTGAAAATCACCGACACGACACGGGAGAACCACGGAGATGAAACGTAAACATGTCGGAGTCACGAGGAGGAGGAAGGAGCTGCAGCTGATACAACTTGTCTCACTCCCAACTCGTGTTGCAGGTGAGTCTCTACAATTTAACACATTGTTCTGTTTCAAGAGAGAAAACGCAACGTCAGTCTGTCTGGAAGATGAAGCTGTTTGTTTGTTTGTTTATCTGATTAATGATGGTGATAGAGAACGTGTGCGTTACTTTTTATTTAATTTAATTGGTACAAGCAGTGTTTAAATGTGATTTATAAAATAAATCTAACACAAAGATAATAATTTAATGATTAAGCTTCAACTTTTAATTTGCTGGCAAAGTCTGAAGACACTGCAGGTATGGCAGGATGAATTGCATTTAAACAGGAATTAAAGTAATTTATTACATCTACTCAAATGTGTGTAATTAAGTATTTTATATGTGTGTGTGTGTGTGGGTTTAATTGCTCTTTTAGCTACTTTTGCCTGAACCTAATGCTGTAAGTGAAACAAGGCATTTCTTGAGTTGCTGTAATAATTATGCTATAAAACATATTTACTGTCTCATTCCAGAAAACAACAACAACAAAAGCCTTCATGATGGACAGACATTATGGACACCACAGCAGCAGCTGTCTTCACTGAAACATCCTGAACATGATCGTCACTGACATGAGGCCTCTGTCGATGGTTGAAGACGAAGGCTTCAATACAATAATCCACACTTTTAATCCAGGTTACAATAATCCACACTTTTAATCCAGGTTACACTCTTCCCTCAATGACACATTTTACAAAGTAGCTACATACTGTGCAGGTATAAAGATACATTTGTATATATTTTTGTGTACATTTATTTTTTTAAACTATTTGACTAACTTATTTTTTTATTATTCAATATTTTACTAACACAATAGTCAAATAGCAACCTGTTTTTAATGTGAATTGCTATGTCAGTCAAATGTTCAATATTGGAATAAAGGGATGGAAATTAAAACGTTTTTTTTTTTTTTGCCGATTCATCGATTAATCGAAAAAATAATCGTCCGATGAATCGATTATTGAAATAATCGTTAGTTGCAGCCCTAATCTTATTAAAATAAACACAGTTATTTTACCAGAGCAAAATCATAAAATCATTAAATGTGTATTATTGAACTTCAGATCCATTTCCTCTAAATCCATGTTAGTTAGTGAACTGATAACTGATCATCATATTGATTTATTTGGTTGGTCTAACAGAAACCTGGCTACAACATGAAGATTTTGTTAGTATTAAATTAATCCACTCCTGTTCAATATTAAAATTTTCATGTTCCTAGAACAACTGGCCGAGGTGGAGGAGTAGCTTCTATTTTTCAGTCAGGATTATTGATTAATGCCAAACCAGTTATTAGTTATGATTCTTTTGAATCGCTGTCCCTCAGTGTTTCTCATCCAAAATGGAAATCCGAAAAGACACTTTTACTAGTTGTTATATATCGTCCACCAGGCGTTTACTCTCAGTTTTTATCCAAATTGTCAGAATTCTTAACTGACTTACTACTAAATACTGATAAAGTCATAATAATGGGTGATTTCAATATTCATGTAGATGTTGAAAGTGATAGATTAAGCATAGCATTTAATAATTTAATTGAGTCATTTAGTTTTATCCAAAACATTCGCAAATCTACTCATTCTTATCATCACACCCTTGACTTGTGGGGCAGCTGTGGCTGAGTAGTTAGAGCAGTTGTCCTCCAATGCGAGAGTTGGGGGTTCATATCCACCAGCAGTCACATGCCAAATTGTCCCTGGGCAAGACACTGAACCCCTCATAGCCTCCGATGTGTGTCCCATTGGTGTTTGAATGTGATAAAGCACTGATTAGTCTCTTTAGAATGATTTGTTCAATTAGCTTTGTAGAGTGTCTAATAATCTAGTAGAGTGCTGTATGAATGGATAAATGAGGACACAGATTGTAGTATATAGAGCTTTGAGTATCTTGAAATAAGATAGAAAGGTGCTATATAAGTACAGTCCATTTACCATTTACTTATTTCTCATCTATTGCATAGAGATTAAGGACTTAGTAAAAGTTCCTCAAAATCCTATTCTGTCTGACCATTTTTAATAACCTTTGAGTTTACATTGAATGACTACATAGTCAGTGAGAGTAACTTTCATCTTAGCAGGTGCTTATCAGAAAACGCTGTAACCAAATTTAAACAATCTCTTCCATCAATGTTTTCCTCTGTCTTGCATCAGAGAACAGTGACTTAGATCATCTAGTTGATTGTCTTACAACTTCAATGCAAACTTCACTTGATAAAATTGCTCAGCTGAAAAAGAAAGTAATCAATCAAAGGAAACTGACTCCTTGCTTCAATTCTGAGCTACATACTTTAAAGCAGGCATCTAGAAACCTGGAGAGAAAATGGCGCTCTACTAATGTTGAAGAATTTTATATAACTTTGAAAGATAGTCTGCTAACATATAAAAAAGCTCTCCGCACATTAACTGTCATTCATCTTCATTGTAGAATGGCAATTCTTACTGATCTGGTTCTTTTTAGAATCCAGAAATAGGATTCTAGGATGTTTTCTTAATACTTACAGCTGATTAACCATTAAAAACCTCCCTACATGTGTTGGAATTGAACCAAGCTTACGGTGAAATGATATTCCAGATTTTTACAATTTATGCTTTGCTTTAATTAATGATTTGCAAGGGAACAGCGTCAATGTACATTTCAACAATGATTACATTTGGTTATATAGTCCATACATTGCTTGAGAGAGGATCTTATTAATTGATTTTGATGTCCAAAGGATTGGAAGTCCACCAAAGCAGTGATTTCCTTGTTCTGATTAGCTGAGATAGGGAGTTATGAATCCTTAAAGTTCTTATGGGTCGATGTAGGAAAGCCTACCCATTATGTAGATGGTCGATGCCCAGAGTCCTAA